GAGCACGATTTTGTGCACGAAGAATGCACGATTTGGAGCACGATTTTGCTGTCTCAAACGTGGAGCTCGAGGGTGGTGATCGAGGCATGAAAATTGTGGTCCAAATTGTGCTCCAAATTGTGCAAATTTTGTGCTCCCTAAACACAAACTTCTTGGCAGTGAGCCTCAAGGACAGTCATCCTTGACAGGAAATTCCTGGCTGGCCTCAAATCTTCAAATGAAAAAAACGTGAATCCATGGTGCAATTTCTGGAGGGCTGCTAAATAAAGAAACCTTTTATTGACTGTTACTGGGGAAGGGAGAGTCACAAATAATTATACATATTACTTATACATATTAAATAAACTATATAAGTATAATGCGTCTTGCTTCAAAGCTCTATGACGTTCGGAAGGGTTGGTGTTCTTGAAAATAAACAACGCACAGCTCAGACTGATACGGACGGCAGGTCGAAATGCAGCCCCAGCCATTCCACCTCTGCCCCTGAGCACAGGTGGGAAAAAGGGTGGAATGACTTTGCACAACCTTTGTGCAAATGACTTGGCTAGCTTTTCCTGCAACGAACAGCCTGTAGAAATTTGTTCATGGAATATCCAGAATAACGCCGAAATACTCTTGCCAGGATGAAAGAATGCTCGCAGTCACAATGCGCTTGTCTCTTTTGAACAGTCTTTTGCCAAGGACTCTGCAAAAAGGATTGCAATGCCTTCTTACATTTGTAGGGTGGAGGCCACCGCTGGTGACATCTGGCGACCTAAGACTCAATCTTGACGATCCCATCTCGGCAAAGCCGAAGCCCCCACCCTGCGCCTCCTGCAGCCTCCAAGGAACCCAATTGCAGATTTCAACAAAGCTGACAGCGGCTTACAGCTACACAGAGTGCACCTAAGCAATTGAAATTCCGACACACACGCATACATATATATATATATATATATTACACATGACCGGAACAGGGCTCTTTCGAGTGCTTTTGCCCACGCCGTGCCTGCCAGTAGCTGGAAATGTTCCCATCAAAAGCTAAACCGGGCCTCACCGCTCAATGATAGTTACGGCCACTTGACCATGTTTAAGGATAGTTACCAGGCCAACTTTTTCAGTCCTGTATTCCGTCACAACAATGCAACGCAGTCAGTGAACTATGGTCAAATGATTGTCCGGCAACAGCTTCCTGTGATCCTGGCTAAGTTTGCCTCTGCTATGAATCCCTACCTGAAGTCGCCGGAAGATCTAGAACTGAAGGCAACTCCTGTCACCTCACAAGGCTCCAGGATCGAATTGGCACAATGCTCAGCCAAGAACCGCTCCAAGAAACCTATATAATCATGGAACATCATCGAACACCTGTCCTCGTTGCTCGCTCTTTACAATGAGTGCGACATAGTGCGACTGTACATGGGCACCTCCACTGTACACTCCACACTAGCAAAGAAGCGCAGCTCGGCGACCTGATTGCAAAGGCCAATGGTCAGAGTCAGAGATCATTCTCTAAATTTGCCTCTTTAGACAACTGTCGCAAGGCCAACGGAATCTTTTTCCAACTACCCACAAACTACTCACACAACAGAGCTATTAGAGACAAGTGCATAGCCATTAGTAGCTAGAAGCTACTAGTAGAAGGGAGAGATCTTTGGGCTCATTGCAACTCAACATGACTCACATGGCCGTGCAATCAAACTGAGGTCAACTTCCTTGATGTCAAATGGGTCAATCATGGTCAATCAATGTCCATCATTGTCTGAGGATCCCAAACTGCCCAGGTCAACCCTGCCGAGCTCTCTCGGTTGGCCCTCAGTGGATAGGGATTACCGATACGAGCCGAGATGAGCGACGAATGCTTGCGACGAGCGACCACTGTGACCCTTCTCTGTCTTCCTGGTGATTCCTTCTGGAGGCCATCGCTACTAGGAGCAAGGACGCTACTAGGAACAAGTGCCTTACTAGTGGTAACAAGAAGCTACTAGTAACAAGTGCATCGCTTCTAGTAACAGGTGCCTTACTAGCAGTAACAAGTTCCTTACTAGTAGTAACAATAAAGCTATTAGAATTAAGTTTATGTTTAAAGTAAATTTTAGCTTCTGGTTACTACTAGTAAGGCACTTGTTACTACTAGCGTGGCACTTGTTACTAGTAGTAACAAGGACGCTACTAGGGGCTCCTGGCCTTACTACTAGGAGCGATCGGACGCGATGGTCGTCTCATGGGGCGAACTCGCTCCGTCGGGCTCCCAGGCACACGGGCACGTTGAAAGGCAGCAGGCTCCACCCAAGCCTTGCTTGAAAGTTGATCTGTGGTTTTTTTGGGCCAGGGGGAAGTTTTAGGTTTTTTTTGGGCCATGATGTCAACATATGTCAACTACATCTTGTCTGAACTGTTCTGAGACTATCCCAGGAATGAATTCAAAAGAATATCGCCCCTCAATGCCCCTCAGGATCGAAACAATGACATGCATGCACTGCTGCTAGGGCTAGGGAGGTGGAACCACCACCTGGTAAACTGTTTGCCAGTGTGGAGTTTCATGCCAGTGTCAATGCATATGGTATCGTGGTATCTCCACTTGGTTCATATTACACATTGAAAAATCGAGGAAATATGGCATGAATACAGCTTCGACCATGACCAGGCTCTTTTTGCAAGCTAAGCTCATTGACAGCCCACTAAGGCTTGTCAGAGCTTTGTCTGGAGGAATTTGAAGGCAGCGTGTGCTCAAGCAATGAGCATGATGCTCTTACCCCGTTCCTCCTCGAAACAGGCCACTACCACGTCTGAACCTGTGGCTTGTTGATACACACACCTCATCCAAGAAACGATCCTTGCATGATGGCGAATCCAGCACTATCAAGCTGTAGCAACTGTAGCAACACCAACATCCGAAACGCAACAATCAGACGCATAAATAAAGTGGAATCACAGATGTTTGAACGTGCTTCCTGTCTGATGATGTACTACAGGTTTGAAGCTCCAGCAATTCACACTGCCTCCAAATTTAGTCTGGAAGAGGAAGGAACGCATGCCATGCACGCGCACTACTGGTTGGGCATGTTTGGGCTGTGCCCGTATCCCCTGAGCTGCGAAAGGATTCTAACGCGATGAGCCGGAACCCAAGCTCCGCTCACAGAGGTTCTTCTACGAATCGTTCTCCCAAGACGCGCAGAACAAACAGACCATTCTGTAAGGCTGGCGCTTTAGCCGCTTTCTACACAACTTAAATGGTCTTCTCACGCGGCCCACAACTGAGGCCAAAATGCCAGCCATAAAGAAAGTCCAATCTAATTGAAACAAATACATCAAGTTGACTTGGACGGTCTCAGGGTAGAAGCCACGGGTCACAAATTCGATGTCACAAGGAGAGCATAGCTGTGCAATTTGGTAGGCTCATGCAGTGATGACTCCCATCGAGGTATACTGAGGACGGTAGCAGTGCTCACTGGTGGCTTCATCCCTGCACTGGGCATCCATGTCGGTAGGAACCAAGCTTTACGCTGGGCACATGTGCGCATCATCCACTTGAATTTCAAGAGCCTCTGACGTTTCCAACCACAAAAACCATAGCTACTATCATGGCTAGTTATATACTAGTTCAATCATGAGTCATTCGCACCCTGGATGAATCTCCCAGGATGTTTCGAAAGTTCGCAGAGAACGCCAAAACGACCCACGGTGCCAGAAACGGCCTAATCCACCGACCGTTTGCCACGCAGCATCTCACTCAGCTCTGAACAAGCAGCACCTCAGGAGCCGCTTTCCGTGCCAATGAGGCAGAACTGGTCAGAAAATTAATAAAGGAAAGGAACACCAGCAGTTAACAGTTAGCAAACACAATTTAACAGTTAGCCATTTAACAGTTAGAAAGCAGGCAACAAAAAGGCCATACAAACACCAGAAAGAGTGAATCTCCGGAGATTCGAATCGCTCTGGGAATGAGAAGCCGAAACAACCTTGGAGTAGATCATAGTGACCATAGTAGTGCTTGAGCGACTTCAGATTTCATTTCGCCGACGAGGTACTTTGTCTTGTTCGCTCTTCTCGGTAACGCCGATCTTCAGTGCAAATCCGGTGGATGAGCCAGGCCAGGAAAAGAAGTCCCGCAAAGATCCTGATAAAGTTTGCAAACAGCAGTCTCTTAATTAACATGACCTGAGTGTCCGGTATCTTCCCAATTCAGGTCACGGATTCTTTACTGCAAGATGCAAGATGCAAAACCCTGCAAGATGCAAGGCAATTAAGAATCCCGGACTCGAACTTCTCATGACCAGTTTGAACCAAGTAGCAAGCAATATATCAACATAGGCCTTGGCAAGTGCACACCCTCCACTCCTTCCACTGTCAAGAGCACTCTCCGAGTTTAAGTGACCACGACTAAGTCCAAAGTAAGTAGGGCGTTCTGTGGACTTGCCTGAGTTCTAGATATGTACCATTCCTCTTGTTGCCTTTCACACGGCAAGTTGCTGGCTTGATGACACTAATAAAAACCCAACAGGCTGGACTCCGACTAGTAGCGTCCTTGCTCCTGGTAGTAAGGCCAGGAGCCCCTAGTAACCCTAGTAGCGTCCTTTGCTCCTAGTAGCGATGCCCTTTGTTCGTAGCGTCCTTGCTCCTGGTGCCAAGAAGCGTGGATTGAGTCTCCATCAGTGGTGAGATCTCGACTGCGGTGCTTCTTCGACGTGGGGTTTTGAAATGGCCAAATCCCGGCAGCTTGAAACCCGAAATGGCAATGATGTTCATTTCTCAACAGTAATATTCCCATCGTTTTGTAGCAGTGCTCCTGGTGATAGATAACTTAGGACAGTGGTAGAGCTGTGTTGCACTGGGTGGGCAATCACTGTCTTTACTCACTTTGAGTTGCTGGATCTTTCTACAAATGTCTTGGATGCCCGTTTTGTTTGGCCTCTGACTTGAGCATGGGAAACCAGCGCAAGCGATGCAAGTCACATACCCGGCCACAAGAAATCTTGTCAGCCTCATATCATGACTGGGTCCTGTCGGAGTCTTACTCTCACAACGACACCTTCATCTGCTCGGAGCTGCTTCACAAATTAAAACTCTCAAGGAACCACGTTGAAGAGTGACGATCAAGCTAAAACCCTTTGGGCACCCGCACTTGATTCAATAAGACCGCTTCTCCAACACTTACACCTCGTTCACTTGTCACCGCAATTCACAAACGCTGACTGGGCGCAACAACACTGCAGAAAAGCCAAACACAATGAATATCATGTGCTGTCACCGACAAAACGTCATCTGCCCTGGCTTTTGCACTCCCGCCGGAAAGTTGCAACTGCTCGAACTTTAAAAACTGAACCTCACAACAACCTTACACATATCCGCAACATTTCTTGGGAAGCAGCAGGCAATCAACGATACTTCCAAATGGTAAGTCTTGATCAATTTGATTTGAAGTTGTGTGCAAGTCTTCATTGGTCAAACTGTTCCCTTTAGTTTCCCTAAAATCTAGGAACCAAATCATTAGTGCGAGCGCTTCTTCCAGGAAGCTTCCCCGGGAGCTTCCTTGAAGAAGCGTGAGCTATCCTGCGTCCTAACTAGTAGCTACTTGTAAGTAGTAGCTACCTCTGCCTCTAGCTACTACTAGCTACCTCCTAGCGGCCTACCCCACCTAAAAACAAACAAAAAGAAACGAAAGGAAGATGGTCCGGCCAAACTGAGGAGCCAGGCTGTTAAAGCTCTTAGACAAAATCCACGAGGAACCACCCTTGGCTTGGCACTCTGCAGCTGTCTTACCAAAAGAAAGGATGCGAGTGGGCATGGGACAACAAACAACGAGTATTTTCCTAATATACATATATATATATATACACTATAGAGGTTGGTTCATGATTTTTGGCTGGCAGCAATCAGGAGGGACCCAGTAAGGTGAGGATGGCCCTTGTGCAAAAAGAATGAAGCAAGCAAGCGATCCAGAGAAATTGGTGTCAAGCAAGATTGCGGGAGCACTGCTGACACAGCTGACACATCAATTCGGTGGGCAGCATCCTGGGTTTCATCACTCAATGATCGCACATTATCTCTAAAGTATCCGACCCCAAATAATGCTCACAAACTCCTGCTAAGAACCGACAAATAATAAACTATATATATAACCCCAAACAAAGCAACACTTCTTCACCGAAGAACACATCACCGACTATGATGTTTTAATTTGCAAAATATTACAATATTCTGAATTCTTGATTTCTGTCGTGCACCACCTTTCCCAATGATGTCATTATACAATTTATGTCTCGGTGAGTTTGGGTTGTTTTTCCGGGCTCTTGCCGACCTAGATTGCTGAGTTGAGATTCCACGAATCACTGACTGCGCCGATGCACAAACAATAGCATGTGCTTTTTGGGTGAGTGTGCCGTTCTGAACATAACATACATTATATTTGCAGTGGGCATCAAGCGCATCGAAGTAAGTCTCGACTGACTTGACCTTCTTGACCTTGAGCCATTCACATTCCGTCTCAACCTTGACGGAGTCATCAAGCTTTGAAACATTGAGCCATTTAGCTGCTATGCCCCTGACCCAACGCTCCAGGTGTATGGTACTTGCGCCTGGCTTTGCGCTATGACCAACGGCAATGAACTTGCGGAACGGAAAAAACAATTGCCTTCAAATCTCTCATCCTCCAGCGTTGACGGAACAAAAAGCGCATTCAATCAAGGGAGCGTTTCACATCTGAAGGCAAAGCAGGTTGGTCTCCAAAACCAGGTGGAACGGAACTACTACCGGCATTGGTCCAGGATCCGAGGCTCTGAAACATCCCGGCTAGACCACAAGTGCGGTCTAGCGGCTAGATTCGCTAGATCGCCTAACCGTTGGATAAGGGCCAATCGCTGACCTCCAAAAAACATTTCTGAATGACATTGAATCACCGCGGTTGTCGCGAAACCGCTAGTGGGATGTGACAAATGCCTCCAGGTATGAGATCCCCGACCAGCCTAGCCTTGTCGCCTTGTCGTCCCATTGGTTGGTGATTTTTTTACCACAAAGAACTCAGGCGATGCCCTTTGTTCCTAGTAGCTTCAAACACGAGACTCAGGCCGCTGCTGAACGGCTCTTCTCCAGACTGATATATTTCGATGCACGCCACCTGCGACAAAGGCTAGGCGACTGGGCTCCACCTGTGTCATGTCTACAGGATACAAAGCATTACAGAGCTACGAATCCGACAACTACGGGCCTCTTGGGGGCTGTCGAAAATGATGCCAATCCATGCTGCTCCTCCGATAGAGAAGCTTCAGAAGCTCACCATGAATGTGAAGAGAGGACATATTATGTAACATGCATGCCCCAAGCTGGGAATTTACCACACCAAAAGGCTCATTGAGTTGCTTAAGCGTGATTGATGCAAGAAATGTTATGAAAAGCAACTGGTTTGAGCCTACTTTAATCAATCCCAAACCTACACCTTCTCGCAAAGTTTTCTTTACACTTTCCAGTTCACCTAGTTCACCAAAACGAAATTTGGCCTTGTTACTAGTAGCGAACCTTGTTCCTAGTAGTATGGCCAGGAGCCCCTAGTAGTAGCGTCCTTGCTCCTAGTAGCGATGCCAGGAGCTCCTAGTAGCGAACATTGTTCCTAGACGGTTTCTGTTTCTTCGCCCCAACTAAGGCCGGCGACCAATGGCACAGTCCAGACCTTGCGAACACGTGCATCGCGGGCGCGGTGAGACATATGGCAATTGGAGAAGGTGATTTACATTTAAAATAATAGCTTCTTGTTACTACTAGTAAGGCACCTGTTACTACTAGTAAGGCACCTGTTACTACTAGTAAGGCACTTGTTCCTAGTAGCTTAGTGTTTTTAATAGCTTCTTGTTACTACTAGTAAGGCACTTGTTACTACTAGTAAGGCACCTGTTACTACTAGTAAGGAACTTGTCACTACTAGTAAGGCACTTGTTACTACTAGTAAGGCACCTGTTACTACTAGTAAGGTACTTGTTCCTAGTAGCTTATTGTTTTTAATAGCTTCTTGTTACTACTAGTAAGGCACTTGTTACTACGAGTAAGGCACCTGTTACTACTAGTAAGGAACTTGTGACTACTAGTAAGGCGCTTGTTACTACTAGTAAGGCACCTGTTACTACTAGTAAGGCACTTGTTCCTAGTAGCTTGATTTTTTTAATAGCTTCTTGTTACTACTAGTAAGGCACTTGTTACTACTAGTAAGGCACTTGTTCCTAGTAGCCTATTGTCTTTAATAGCTTCTTGTTACTACTAGTAAGGCACTTGTTACTACTAGTAAGGCACTTGTGACTACTAGTAAGGCACTTGTTACTACTAGTAAGGCACCTGTTACTACTAGTAAGGCACTTGTTCCTAGTAGCTTATTGTTTTTAATAGCTTCTTGTTTCTACTAATAGGGCACTTGTCACTACTAGTAAGGCACCTGTTACTACTAGTAAGGTACTTCTTCCTAGTAGCTTATTGTTTTTAATAGCTTCTTGTTACTACTAGTAAGGCACTTGTTACTAGAAGCGATGCACTTGTTACTACTAGTAAGGCACTTGTTACTAGAAGCGATGCACTTGTTACTAGTAGTAAGGCACTTGTTACTACTAGTAAGGCACTTGTTACTAGAAGCGATGCACTTGTTACTAGTAGCTTCTTGTTACTACTAGTAAGGCACTTGTTACTAGAAGCGATGCACTTGTTACTGTAGCTTCTTGTTACTACTAGTAAGGCACTTGTTACTACTAGTAAGGCACTTGTTACTAGAAGCGATGCACTGGTTACTAGTAGCTTCTTGTTACTACTAGTAAGGCACTTGTTACTACTAGTAAGGCACTTGTTACTAGAAGCGATGCACTTGTTACTAGTAGCTTATTGTTACTACTAGTAAGGCACTTGTTACTAGAAGCGATGCACTTGTTACGAATAGCTTCTTGTTACTACTAGTATGGCACCTGTTACTACTAGCGTGGCACTTGTTCCTACAAATAGACATCAGAAGGAACCTAGGAATGGCCTCCACCCTTTCAGCCTAGCGATGGCCTCCAACATAAGACATAACGTGGTAACATAATTGCAAGAATTGTTGCTTAACCGTGTCAATGTTGCTTAACCCGTGCATAACGGCGGGCCTGTTCAATGTTGGACCAAAACAACATCTGGAAGGTTTTGGAAAGCTTGGCAAGTGGGTGCCCACACAGGAGGAACGCCACATACTGCCTGAGAGCACAGGCTATAGAGCACTTGGGCCAACTTGGCTTTCACCGGTCTCAACTCCTTTCCCACTTCGTCACACGTTGGCAAAACTTCACGCAACATTTTTCAGGCGCGAGGCCTCGCGCACAAAGTAAAGCTTGTAATAGAATGTCGACTTGAAACCAATTGAGGAAAGGTTCAACTACTTCAGGTTTAACTATTACGTTTGAGGCCATCGCTCTTAGGTTGGAGGCCATCGCTATTAGGTTTCTTTTTTTGGAAGCTGGCTTTGATGAATGCGTATCCTTTGTCTGTCAACAGTCTCTTGAAAGGCTCTGGCTCCGATCCAGCTTGCCCCAGCCTGTGTCATCCATCGCCAGGCTTGGCGGGGTGTCTGCGGCGGCTTGCCCAGACCTTCTGCTTGTGTCACACAGCGTGATTGGCACGGACATTTATGGCCACATTTATCCTCACCTACGAGTCAGTCACTTTATGTCTTTTTGTTGGATACAAATTGTCAGCGAGCTCCTGAGACTCCCCAAAGATACCCCGGGCAAAGTGGTTCCGTTTTGGCAAATATACCGCATGTTGCGCATTGATGTACACCAAGTCCTTCGCGGTGAAGCTATTGTCACCTGCGTGGGGGAGGTACCATCGGCATTCCCCAAGGCACTGGCGCGATGGGCATGGGATGTCGCCAAACTGGAGGCATTGGTGCAGGCGCCGGCCAGGCTGGAGCACGATAGGGCATCGGCATCGGCCTGGGTGGGGGCCAAACACCAGCGGGGGCTGGGCCTGGAGCAAGTCCGCCCGGTGTGCCACACGGTGCCCCCGGTGCACCGCAGGGTGCGCCGCCCGGTGCGGCGCCTGGCCGCGGCTTCAGCATGTGAGACATGCTGGCGCCTGGCGCCTTCGTCCAGTGCCCTTTGGCTGCGACCGGCTGTGGCTTTGAGCGGTGTGAGCGGTGCGAACGGCTGCGGCTCCGAGAAGACGAGGACGATGATGACGAGGACGACGAAGAAGGAGCCACGGCGCCAAGGGCAGCTACTGGAGCCACTGAAGCAATTGGAGCCGGGGCTTCAGCTTCCACCACCGGAGCTGCAAGTAGATGCGGCTCTACACTTTCACTGGAAGACGACGAGCTGTCTTCTAGAGCTGCTGCTTGTGCATGTTCGATGACAAGCTTTTCCTGGATGTTCGGTGTTTGTGTCTGTGTCTGTGTCTCCTGTTTTTCTTCGATCTCCTCTGCCTCTTCCTCCTCGTCCTTGGAGGAGAATCCCTCCTCGGTGCAAGCTCTTTCCTCCTCCTCTACTTTGCCGTCTCCCATGCGCTCAGGCGACTCTTCCTCTTCTTGAGGGTCTGAACTTTCTTTCTTCTCATCACTCTCACTGGCTTCACTTGCCTTCTTTGCCTTTTCCCCCTCTGATTCATCATATATCTCGGTCTTTTCTCCCTCTGATTCATCATATATCTCGGTCTCCTCTACCTCTTCCTCCTCGTCCTTGGAGGAGAACCCCTCCTGGATGCAAGCTCTTTGCTCCTCCTCTGCTTTGTCATCTCCTATGCATTCAGGCGATTCTTCGTCTTCTTGACCTGGGTCTGAACTTTCTTTCTTCTTTCTCTTCTTGGCTCTCTCCTTCACCTTTTCCTCCTCTGATTCCTCTTTCTCATCTTTGTCGCTCTCATCATCATCAATCTCATGCTGACTCTCCTCTTCCTCCACAGCGTCTCGTGGCTTCAGCACAGCCTTGCGCTTAGGCACCTTGGTTTCCTTGGTTTCCTTGGCCTTCACCGGTCGTTTTGCTTCCTTCTTCCTTGACCGCTTGGCAGGTGAGCGCTTAGGTGAACGCTTGGCAGGCTGACGCTTGGGCACCTTGGCTTCCTTGGTCTTCTTTGGTCGTTTCGCTTCCTTCGCTTCCTTTGCCTCCTTCGCTTGTTTCACCTCCTTCGCTTCCTTTGCTTCCTTTTTCCGTGAGCGCTTGGCAAGCAGGCTTTGAACCTCATATCCGATGTGGCCAAAGCCACAAAGCAAACCCACATTTACCGGGTGGCCTATAACAACAAAAAGTGGCAACACTGGATGAGATCCAACTGCAACAATTTCCGGGCGCCATGCAACTGTCCATCAACTAGAAAAACATTCCATGTTCTACAGAAAGGACACAATCCAGCAGTGAATGCTACAAAAAGGTGTTTTGAGCCCGTGTAACAGAAGGGCATTTGGTGCTTCAAATCTTCTCCAGGGGGTGGAGCAAAAGCCAAGACACTTTCTGCAGTGCTGCTGCGGCCCCACTCTCGCGAAGGCGCTGAGTCACCTTGAGCCTTTCCTCTTGATCCAAGGACTCCCACTCTTTGACCGTGCAGCCCACACGTCGAACTGTGGGTGGCAAGCGTGGCGCCATACCATGGGCACGGTATCACGGTGCGCAGCGTACGCGAGGTTCACACGAAGGCTGCTCTGATGACCCACGTTGCCGTGTGAAGCAATGCCCTTGAGGCTGTCTTAAGTGCTCTCAGAATCTGGAGGATGGTATGATGCGGTATTGGTGGGTTGGCATGTCTTCACGTGAAGATTTGAAGCTCTGGTGCTTGGAGGGGGAGACATGTAACTACAAAATTACATGTGTACATATGTGTACATATATATATATATATATTTATTTTCGATTTTGCAACACCAGGGAAGCCTCGGTCCAAGTCGATGCTGAGATTGAAACAACCGGTTCTACAAAGAACAAGCCAGAGTGCTTCGCGATGAAAGGAGCTACAGTCACACCATGTCACACCAAGGGGACTATCTGTATAATCCTGGCGAACCTACGACCTAAAAAGCCCTTGCTTGAGCAGAAAGTCATCCGGTCACAAGAACTGCGTCGACGTCCCAAGCTTTGCTCCGCACGCCCCGGATCAACATAGCATGACAAAGCTGCCCACTCTGACTCAACCCCCACCACAGCTGTCACGCGACGATCCATCTACAGCCTACAGCGTTCAGTTGCCTAGTTATTCCTTTTGGATTGGACTTGAAATGACCGGCTCAAATCCTCAGGTGATTGCAGGTGTTTTCGTGCTACAAGATTGCTACAAGCGCAGTCGAGGCCATGTATGGCCATTTGCAAACATATGATGATTGAGCTTCTTCTTGGACCTCCCATGACACGTGCCACAAAAACATGGTCTCAACATCCGCTTAGGCAAAAAGCATTTGTTTCAAATATGTTCAAGCCAGGTTGCGACAGGTTTATGCGGGTTTATGTGTTCTTAGGTCACTCTCGAAAAAAAAGCCCGGGGGGGCTCACGCAAAGGCAATGCCCCCAAGAGGTGTTGAAGAACAACCACTCGTCACCTGTACAAGTTGGTGAGAATGCCAACCTTTTGACGGAAGTGTGGACAAATGTGGAAAGCCAGCGAATGTCATTAGTAACAAGTGCCTTACTAGTAGTAACAAGAAGCTATTAGTAACAAGTGCATCGCTTCTAGTAATGTCTTTTTACGATCTCAGAAAAATTGAGAAAACACATCATTGAGGAATTGGTAAGCAAGGACCATCGTGCAGAATCCTGCTGAGTAGACCAATGCTTGTCACTAGTCTGAGACTCAAGTAGTGGCTCTACAAGTACTTGGTGGAAAGTCTTTAACATATGTTTAATTGTATATAACAGCCAATAATATCCAACGACTCTCTTCCAAGGCCAAAGCTTACGTGGGCCTTTGTGATTGTCCCACGCTGCCTCCATCAACTCAAAACCAACTTTTGGGCGGGGGATCTTTGTGGAGCTTTTGTTGCCACCTAGGGGATCCCCAAGCCTGGCCTGCTCATCGGCCAGGAGGAACTTCAAATGGCCTCACAGCAGGTCTGCTTCACTGTGTCGGTCCTAGCGTTGCTACCAACGTTTCGAGCCCTGCGGTTCAAGAGAGGCACAAGACCAAAACAGACTGTCAGGGGCTACTAGCAGGGTCTCAAATTGAAACGACTTACTCGAGTCCATTGTGACGAGATTCTCGCCTGGATGGAGCTATTCTCATGAGTCAACAACTGAGTCAACACTCAACACCTTTGGGTTCCGAACGGATTGCCCAGCTCCATTGAATGGCTTGACCTCTCCCACAACAAAGGGCAAGCAGTGCAAGCAGTCGAAGCCGAGATCATGAGCAATGTGTGAAATGATCGTGTTGATAATGTCGATGCAACAGGTGACAGGGGCGTCAGGAATTCGAGGGCTGGTATGGGCTGGTGGCTGGGCAAACAGGCGAGCCACTACCCCACCCCCGCAGTAAAGGGGATGAGCCAGGGTGTGGACTCTGAAACACAACAAGGCCCCTGTGACTTCTATTGTAGGCAGCCACCGTTGAAACGCTTCGATGGCCTCCACTCTAGTGACTCTAGTAGCGATGACCTCCAACATCCTCCGACCATCTTCAAAGGTGTCGATCCAAGAGAACTTCTGAAGCCGAGCAACCATTCACAATGCGCCACAACAAGCCTGCGATGGACTGCCGACAAGAGTGTGAGCAATTAAAATGGGGCATGCCGGCACCCAACGAAATTGGATAATCATCCTGCAAAGAGTGTAGAACATTGGGAACGTCCAAACTTCATATCTTACGGCTCAGATCTTATGACCTTCCAAAGGTTGATTCATGAATAGCCATTGTCTTGCTGGGTAAGTCTCCAGGCTTGCGCCTGCTGCGGGTGCAAAGCCACCAGTCGAGTTCAAGGGATCGACTGCCTGCGTTTGTGTTTTTGACGCGACGGGTGGCTGATTTGGCTAAGCGCTGAAGCGCCGAATGCAAAAGGCGGCAGCCCTCTTGGACTAATTGGGTTTCACCACAATCTACAAGAGAATGGCCGGTGTGCACAAAAAGCTCTGAACAGGTCCAAGAAAGCATTTCCGTAAGTATGCCTAAACTGGCTACTAGGAGTACGGACGCTGCTAGTAGATCCTGGCCGTACCAATAGGAACAAGGAACGCTGCTAGTAACAAGGGCATCGCTACTAGGAACAAGAATGCTACAAGGGGCTCCTGGCCTCGCTACTAGGAGCAAGGACGCTACTAGGGGCTCCTGGCCCTACTAC